CGGCCAACGCCCCCACAAAAACGTCATTGACATGGTGGCATAATGAAATTTGAGACGCCAATATATTGGACACGTGTTCCTAAATTAGATGAATGGAAAAATTATTCCTTTTTCGACTTGAGACAAGCTCTAAATTATTCACTGTAGTAGATTTTTGACTTTAATAAAGCCATAAAAATATAATTAACAAAAAACAAAATGACGCAATACATCCTTTTTAGCTCTGTTAAATAAAATATTTATTTTATAACACAACCTCTTCAAACAGATATATCAATTGGTAATTAAGCTTCATAGTCGATTCGCTAAGAAATATAAGATATCGATGGTTAAACGCGAATAAGATTATGTGGTTTCTAAATTAAAGACCAGATGACACCAATTATAACTCAAAACACGTACATATACGTATGTATAATAACGAATAACACCAAAAACAGTTTATTTGAATCTATGTGAATTATGCCTAATTTTCACGTCGACAAACACGCGGGCTCATCTAGTATTGACCAATAGTACGACAATGACAGTGAGGAATTGAGTTAAAACACAATAAATATATAAAGAGTTATAAAAGACGTTATCAGCATAATGCAGTTTAACCAAAGTAAAACAAATATTTACATTCTAAGCACAAACGTTAAAAAATAAGGTTTAGTAAATAAATATTTTCATAAATATATTCATCCATAATTATTATTGTTTAACCAGTAATAGAAAGTAATAACTGCGCTCCTTGTTATTCATTATAACAATATTATCAAATTAATGCTTAGCGTAAAGGAAGTAATCGTCAACGGTTATAATACAATCTTAAATTATAATACTAGATAAAATGAATGACTCCATTTAATAGATAACGTATTTTGACTAGAAGGAAGCGTTAATTAAATGAGCCGAGTTAAGACAGGTGTATATGAAACCGATTGCGCTATTTCTACTTAGCCATTATAAATTCCAGGCCGCCAGGTGAATCGGCCAAACTGGATAAACACAAAATAGCTGAACGCGAAATAAAGATAAACAATTTTAGATGCTTGTTCATTATCTGGTTTATTAAGTGGCTTCTACTGGTAGACATGTGTTTTTAAGGGTAACACTTGATTTCTAAAAATAAACTGAAAGGTACCAACGCTGTATACGAAAAAACCTATTTACTTTTATTTCAGCAATACAATATGATTTAGAAAAAAATACTGCACTTCAGACTGTCCGAAAAGTATAAGTTTTAATGATAACGACCATCAAGTGTTCGAATTAATTAATGGCCATCAAAAACAATAAAACAAGACCGTGTGTAAAACACGAGTTCATTGAGTTATTCGAGTCTTGGCGCCCAAAATAATTACACCATATTATGACGTATCGTTCGTCAAAGTTCAATGCCGCAAAATAAGGAAGTATCTTGATACACAAGTGTGAACAATTGACTTTCCCAACTCTAAATTTATCTACGAATCAAATTAAAATGACAAAAAAAAGTAATAAAAGTAAAGCGTTGGACATTCCAAACATTAGCCGTGACTAACCACAGACAGTAATGTAATCCATTTTAAAACTATTATTAAATAAAACTTTAAAATGAAAACATTTTAACGAAAGTTTAAAATCAATATAAAAAGATCGTCTGCCGAACGAGCGATTTTAAACAATTACGATAAAAACCTTCGGCAAGAATCGCCTAGTTTGTCAGACCTTTTTCGTAAAAAATCGTCTACAATTTTCTATTTCTCTTTTAAAAGTTATGATTAACCCTTGAACAAGTCAAGTGGTAACGTCAAGAATGTTTATCTTGAGGATTGAAAAAACATGACTGCGATATTACCCAAATGGTGCAGGCGCCGATTCAGTTACAAACAATTCTGATTATGAAAAAACCGTTTTTTATAAACAAAGGTTATGCTTGCTTTCTCTAAAAATAACCTGGAAGTTCACAATAGCAAAAAGACATGCGGGCAAACATTTAACAGAAGTTCCGTTCTTTGTGGACAAAAAACGTTTCTTTTACTATGCGTCTGTTATTTATCAACACCGACCTTCTAAAATCAAAAATGACATAAATATTCCAGGTAAAACTAACAGTTATTAGTTAAATTTTAACCACAAATTTTTTTTTTATAAAATAAGCGTACGTCAATGCGTGTAAGTCTATCAGTAAAAATACGCGCTTGGATATTCTCGAAAATAAAACAGATAAGATTAGGTATGTTCATATCAAATCAGTGTTTATATTGATGCTCGAAAACGGGGACGGACGGATTCAGTTGGCGAGACAATTTGCAAATATTACATCGTCGTAACTGTACACGGCGGCTATTACCAAGCAATGTATATTAAACCCGTCTAACAAGTCGACATGCGTTCTAAGAACTAACTCACCTTCCCTCCTGCTTCTGGCAAGGTCAACTCCCTTTGACAAAAACTATCGCTGGAACGATGCACAACAATGCCGACAAAAAAGGACTATATACAATTGCTTACGTCTTTAAGATTTCTATGCAACAGGTAGTGAAGTAACATTTTCAGATCTATGCATTTTAATTAGTCGGACAAGAGCGCGATAAGCCTTTTTTTAATACTAGTCGTGTCAAAAATTTGTATAAGGTATTTGTAAAAGAATATTGATTCGTACTTAGCACGTAATAAAATCTATTATGAAATATAATTCGTAAACAATTAGTTGTCGTTTGTTGAAACCAGGTTTGTAGCTCTCATGTGTATTTCGAAGTTATGAACTATTTTTTAAAATATAATTAAGAAAACCAACAACTTTCGTTAGGCGCTACAGAGTGCCTTGCCAAACGCAATGCGGATACTGGTAGGTCAGTCGCATCGCTACATGATAATAGTAATTTATTGAGGAAAAAATGTATGTTGGAAATGTTAGAGAGGCACAATATCACTAGTACGGCAAAGAATTTTGGAAATTCATTAGCAATTTATTCAAACACAAATACAAATTGCAATCGACCCCGACTCACTGACAAAGCATATATCCCAAGTTCAAAGCCTATCTGTACACTTACAATACATTCTTTCCATGTCCCTTAAAAATATTCGAATAATTCCGTTAGTACAAAAAAAGTATACAAAAATTAACGCGGACGTGAAGATAAAAATACGTCATTGAAAAAATGGAAAGTCCTGGAAGTTTGTATATCTTTTATCTTTTGTGCAGTAAAGTATTAATAATATTTTAAAACATTGTCACGAAGCAATCCGTGACAAATTTTAGCGGCGTCTGGCCGCAGTCACGTGTTCTGGGATAGGTCCGTAGTCAATACCTGCATACACAAATAAACCAGCAACCATTTTTATTGACAAAAGATGCTCGTATGTCGCGAATGTTAACAGGCGATGTCAAGAATAGCGCAATGCTACAGTTCATTGCTGAATACGTGTTTGGAATTAAAAATGTAGTTTGTGGATTATCTTTTCTTTACAAATAGGTATAAAGGCCTAACGACGATTTTGTAAGTATTTTTTTTAAATTAAATAAAAAATAAATAAAACACTTAACAGTTTAAAACGCGTAATGAATAAGTTAAATTTATTTACAAATTGTAACTACGGCACGATGTTTTGCGTTTTAATCCGTTATATTTGAATGTCTACTACTGGCGTAAATTACAGACAGTATTTTGTCTACGTATGTGCTTTACTAAAAACTCGTTTTAATTATAAAACAGTCTCCCATCAAGTAGAAAATAAACAATGTTGGGTGAATTTATATTAATTTAGCCTTTCAACAAAGGTACTGTAAGTGAGGTATATGTGATTTTGTTTTATTTTTTGACAAAAACCAAAATACTAGTAAACTGCCTCGTAAAAACCGAAGTTATCATTTTACAATTACTACATCATATTACTAAGGATACGTCGTTGATTATAACAATATGGTCTATAATAATGTAGTTGCAGTTTAGTGCAGAAATTTTATATAATTTCTTAATGGAACATATACCTATGTATTAAATATATTAAGTGTTTATTCACATTGCTAAAACCACGTCACGCAATTTACATACAAACTGATCTCATCTGCATATAAATAATATCCACCTCAGTGTAACTTCAAAATAAAGACAATCTTCGAGACTTGAAATAATCTTTGATATTCTAGTTCTCCCGAAAATTAAACGAAGCAGAATTTATTTAACGGAAGTTATTACGGTCAAGGTATAGCAAACTGTAAAAACCCTAGAAATTGGCACCAAATCTAATGCGAATTTGGGTCCCGCTACTGTTTTAGTCTGTTTCGGACGTCATCGAAATTATTTAACAAGATCATTAAAAGATAAAACGTATTGTAATAAATGTATTAAACTAACCGACATACTTTGACTATAGACAAATATTTGCAATAAATTACAAGTAGGTAGATATAATGTGTCACTGAAAACTGGACTTGCATGAGTTAAATATTAAAATTATTTTCACAATAATAAAAAAGTCTGCGCTCCTTTTAATATTTTTGAAAAATCTAATGGAAGTGGTTTGAGTAAATATTATCTGTCCGATATGATAATAACATAACACATTGTTATCGCTAATTCATTGAACAAAGAATAAATGTAAGTTTACACTTACGACTTATGGCTGAATCGAATGTATCAAAATTACACGCAATATGTCAGTATTAATAAATCCTTAATTTTAATAGGAAAAGGCCCCTTTGATGAATCAAAGGAGACATTACAACTATTGATTGACTAAAACGCCCGCATTTAGATATCATTGTAAGCCGACACAATCCGTGGGATAATACGACTATACTGCAGAGATCAGTGCATTATTGTTATTTCGTCTGTCACATAAATTGTATGTAGAATACAATAGAGCAAGGACTATCATTGAATACTGTCCAGTCATCGTTTCGCACGCAGTCTCAAAAGTGGGATCGATCCAGCGCATTTGGGTTAATGCCAAAATTTCAGTTTCCAGCTAAGTGCTGACAAAACTTTCGCCTTTATTCAGTACCTAAAGTTTTAAATACAGACCATTCTTGTGACTGTGGTCAAGTCCCACGCAGATCTCGTTTTGCCGCGCGGCTGCGTCCCATCCTTACGTCTCCCCAAAGAACCGTAATTCGACGGAACACCATTGTCCTCGCGTTTACGCCGGCCCCCGCGTCTCAGAGAAGAGAACCAATTCGAGACAGAGCCGCGGCGCTCTTCTTCGGCGGCCACGGGCCCGGCTTTGATAAACATAACTTCACAAGCGCTAGTACGCACACATTACACTTCACAGGCGAAAAGTTGCTTTTCCACGTGCTCGATAATGGAACTACGATACAAGCGTAATAAAAATATAAGAATCGCAAGATAAAGCAAAACAAGTGGAGTCGGAACTACGGAACGTCGACATGTCATTAGCCTACGTCAGGTAACTGCCAAATATAGATGAAGCTGATAGTTTGCGGTGCATGAAGCGACATCGGTACCCTAATTGCGGAATTACCTGGTCGTAGTCGTCGTCATAGTTGTGCGTTGCGCGGGCACAACGCAACAACACCGGCCACCATAGCGCCTCGCAGATTAGGCGAACGTGTAAACACATCGCGCGCCATACACTTCCCGCTAAGGAACGTAATCGACTGAAGACATGCGCGAGCGCCACTACAGTTTGGCACCGTGACAACTGACTATACGCACACCTATAGGAAATTATCTTACAACACGTCTGAGCCGTTGCAACCCGTTATCACCGGCTATATTGTAATACTTCTGATAACAAACGTACATAGTTTAAGCCGATACTTCGAAATTACATTCTTACGTATGTATTAGGGACTACTTCTTATTGTCATTAATTAGTTCCAATAATTTATAATGATAAGAGAAGATGTTCATAAAAGTAAAAACTTAATTGTTTTTATGAAATGGACGTGGGGGTTGTTATCACTAGTGTAAAACACACAGCGGAAGTGACCAGAGGAAACACGATAACACTATATTTTCTGAATCACACAATTGTCCCTATGCGTTATAAGGGAAACCCGGAATTTTAATTCACATAATACTTTGTTATAATAAGTACAATAGTTTTGAAGCTATGTATGTAGAAATGAGTGAATGTCTTATGTAAGTATATCTATTATATACTAAGACAATAACATGAAGGGACGATAATGCATTGAATGGATGATAACATTCTAGCAGAACCGGGTGGCATGTACATTGTTGATGAATCACTTCGAAACAAACAAGTAATGGACCTAATTAATTATTAAACATTAGTAAACTTAATTGCAAATGGTCCAACTGGTAATATTAAAGTGATAGCATTCATATGAATAATGTAATGAAACCAAATGTCATAACCTACATTACAATTGAAATGCTGCTATAAAAAAGGTAAAACAACATTTGATCGACAGCCAAAAATCTAGTTCTATTTTAACTAAACAACTAACCCAGTTAATTAGATCAACTGAGCGAGCCTATTGTATGTTATTTAATGTTTTGAATGATAATATTATTGTGATGTTCCGTTGTATATAATACGTATTTAGTATTGGACATCCATAGTTATTTTATGTGACATTATTTATGTATTCATTTCTAATACCAGGTAAAAGCAACAGACGATAGAAAAAATGCGGGTAACAGTAATCGCTGACGCGAAAACTGGTCAAATATTTTAGCGTTCCCAAATCCTTCGAGTGGCCACGAATTTTGATGAAGTATTTCGCAAAATTGCGTAGCTATTAAATTACAGCAATCACTTATTATCAATTTAAACTTGCTAATGAAATACAAGGTTAGGTGCAGGACGGTGCACCACATGTGGACTGTAGATTACATCCATCGTTACACCGACAAATAGTGCAATTGAAACGGAGACTGTCTTCGTCTTATTCGTATATAAAACAAAAATAGATATATCGGATATTTACGATTTAACACTAGTTACTAAACATAATCGACGTCATAGCCGTAGTAATTTCCACTTATCTCGCCTTATCACATGCGAACTTAATGAGTAATTACGCAAGAATGCGAAATCAAATAACAACCTTTTAAAAATCACAGCACAATTAAACGTATATCAGCGCGGTACAACGGTAAAACGTATTTTGAACAGCGGACCCTCGTTTGTTAAACCGCGTCTCACTCACGACACGGTCCGCCAGTAACTGGTGTTGAGTCTACCGCCGTACCGCGTCTGCTAGTTACAACCAATAGTCGCGCATTTCGTCTCCCCTCGGACGTAGTAAAAAAGCTTACATTGATGCTTTACGTTGTAATGTTGCCTTTTCAATGAATAGAAGGGACGTAAAATATTATTTTATATAAGTAACTTCATATATCAAATACAGTTTAAAACAATACATATTTCATTATATTTGTTTAAAATGGGCTTGTATTATGAATTTAATTAAGTGAATAAAAATTATTTTTTAAATTACGTAGTTAAGCCCCTAAATAAATTGAAATTAGTTCTATTTAGTTTCTTTATTTTTCCTAATATGTACATAACGGAAAATATTAGGAATTGGTCAACGGTATAACATGATAAAAACTAAATAAGTGAAGTATATACACATTAATATATATTGTTGGTTTCATGTTATTAATAAAATATTTTTGTCATATTATCTCTTACTTATTTCGGTAAACAAATATGTGTTCATGGATATATTTAAAATCTGATGAATTTTTATACCTGTTTCACAATAATCAAGCCGAAATAATTAATTAAATCGTTAATTTACATTTACAATAGGAAAAGCCAAAGGAAAATATAAAGTCTGTAGCTCCATGAAAAATAATGCAGTAAGCAAAGAAGACCTTGGGTTATATAGTAAATAAATGTCAGTTTGATAAGAACACAGAAATGTTAAATCTTATGTTTGGGAATAAAATTAAAATTGATCTATAACTAAGGAATAAAGTTTTATATTGCTCAAAAACTAATTGTATCAGTATGCTGTACCAAAGCTCCTGGATCCATGATCAACCGAGTTCTTGTTGAATTCTATACAGCTAATTATATATTTAGAATAAATTCTTTGCCACTTTTTAAGTTATTCTTTTTTAATAACGAAGGTCCTGGATGTGGGTGTGTCATTATCATTTAATATTGTAATACAATGGGCAAGTAAACTAACCTGAATCTCCAGCAGTAATTCTGTCTTTCGTCTCCTTATATCAATTAAAGTCTTCTGCTGTTCAGTCGTTAGCTCTGCGAAACATAGTTGAGGATATAAGACTACAGAGTCAGAGTGAAATTAAACAGTTATAGACAAAATGTTATTCATTGAGGTCAGCAACCAAAGCGTACACGAAAAACAATCATTTACCAGAATGTGTGAAAGGGTCTGCATGACTACTTGCTGCATTACTACCTCCAAGAGACAAATTTTCAAATTCGCTTATCATTTCTTATTCTTTAATTTAATTTAAAAACATAAACAAAAGTTTACATCGTTAGTATTAACTGGCGGCCATATTTATTTACTAATGTGACAATTTACTTCGTGTAGATTTCAAAACTTGACATTTTTCTACGTGACTAACACCACAGACTAAGTCCCCAGAATATATATTATCGAAAAAGAAAACTTAAGGATAAAAAGAATCAGTACAAAGATATAAATAAGGTTGGTTTGTTTACATCCGGTTAGTAGAAAAAATTTCAAAACTTGAATTTTCTACGCCAGACTAAGTCCCCAGAATATATATTATCGAAAAAGAAAACTTAAGGTAAAACTCCAAAATTTTACTTCAACTTGAACCTTCAAATGTAACACTCACACTTGTCTGTATTTTCGAAAGGAGGGTTGGGACGGGGAGAAATGACGAAAGCACAGGGACGCACTAATCACTTCGGTTTATTTTTTATACTTATTCTCTATGGTTTACTATCTGTGTTTGACATATGAATGGTGAGGATCGGTCGTCTTTTTCGTTGCGTTTGTTGTGATAATAAATTATGAATGATAAAGACATTTCTCGGATTAGTTATATAAATATGCCGTTAAGCATTTAAAATACTGGTGTTATTTTTGACAAAAATGTGAAAAAAAGTTATTTTTTTTAATATTCGCCGCATAATAAAAAAACACGAATGTCGGATTTAGTAGTCCATATTTAAAAAAAAATGTTTTTGTTTTAGAACAGCGAATAAAATACGCATTTCGCTGACCTCACTTTTACATCCAACTAAAATGAACGATACAGGTTGTATACACTTAACCAATTTTAAAGCTGCTAAAGGGACGAATCCGTATAAAATTATCCATGCATTTTTTGTTGCGTGCACATCCTACGAAGCTAGAAGATATAAGGTAAATAATGTTGACGATGTCCCTACGATAAGTCCAAATTTCAATTCATAGATTTATAGCCGATGCGTAATCAGCTGATGTGGTAACCTTCAGGTTCAACTGTATTGTCTAATAATATTGTTTAATTTTCTTGTGTGTTAATTAAACATATTTAAACTATATTATCCAAAGTGTACGATTAAATACACAATCTAAAATAGACATTATTTTGTTGTCATTAAAGTAAGTAAGTGCTTTACAGGTATTAAATTAGAAAGGAAAGTCATCTACTCAAATATGGATAAAGTATATTTTACTTAGTCATTCTTGGGATTATAAAAACAGTTTTATTTATCTCAAACATTTATTTTAGGCTACATCATGTCTTTGTTTTTCCTGTGGTCAGCCCGGGCCACGGATGCACTCCTGTCTCCACTGCATATATTTTGCCTGCTATGGTGGACACATTCAAGAACACTCCAAAGTTAAAAAGCACTTTCTTTATGTGGACCTAAGTTATGGAAATGTATACTGCGCTCAATGTCAGGACTATATTTATGATCGGGAGCTAACAGAAATAGCTATGTCACATAGATTAAAAGAGGCCAAGTGTGTACATATTACCTTTGTTTATTAACAATAAGACTATTCTCTCTCCATTTTGTAAAACTTTCTTAAATGTTATTGATAATCTAATCAGGCCTATAGTATGTAAAATATGTCAAGGCTTGCAAGAAATTGTTAAGAAACATTTAGGTTGTGGATTCAATCCCCACTAGGTCCAAAAGTTCCTCATCAACTTATTCTTTTTTTGAAATATGTTGCACTTTGTATGGAATCGGAATAGATTTACTGTGGACAGAAAGAAGCAGCAAAATTTATTTGTGTTCAATTTCAGTCCATATCCAGTTGAACGTGCATGTTGTTCTGATTGATGAAGATACGTGTTGAGATGTTATTTAGCTGGGGTATTTCAGCTTCTATCAAGAATACCATATGCTTGTCTGTCTTCCTCTATTTTGATAGAAAAAATGATAATGTCCAATCTGAATTAATTGTTATGTAATTTTTGTATAGATCCTTGGGCATGTGTGTTCCATTCACTCCATGGATTCCTAACAATAATGAAGCAATGGCGCTAAGACGATTACGTAAACGTCGCTTGATAAGCCCACACACAACTATTGGACTTCGTGGACTCCAGAATCTTGGATCAACATGCTTCATGAATTGCATTGTGCAAGTGAGTGTTCATTTTATCATTTGTCTTGTACAATTTGTTATGTAACAAGTTTACCTGAAATCGTTTTTAGTTTGAAATACATATAGTGTTATATATTATTGCTTTGCATTACTTTGACAAGAGTCTCAATATCATACTTTCTGATAATTACCATTCAAACATTTTTCACTGCATCAAACATCAATCATCAAAGTGGCATCTTGTTTTTTTGAAAAGAGATTTTATAGATTAATAATTTGTTTTTTAAATATTAGAATTATTATGTAAGTAGACTACTTGGTACTTTTTTTAATTAAGTATTATTTCACTCAATTATTTTTTTCTCAGTGTATAGTTATCTTCAACTAGTTAAATAACTAACCTACTTGTTGCTATACCACCTATTGAGAGTTTGCTTCTATATTCTGTTCGTAAACATGGGCGTATTGTTTGTTCTTTGCTTTTTATTGGTAAACATTTCGTCGATAAGATTAGGTCTATATTATTACCATGTCAATATCAAGGTCACAAATTAATCTATAACTCAAAATAGACATCTGTTATAAAGGCTCCTTTTTTTAATTATATTTATTTGCTTATGGTAATCTTTAAACAACGCAACAGTTATATAATAATTATCAATTTAATTATGTTTATTATAAATTTGATAGAAGACGATTATTTCGTAATTTTTGTTTATACTTTGTAAATGTAGTGTTCAAATCAAGTTCAATTTTTACACTTTAGAGTTTCGACAAGTGTAATTTAAATGATTGAAGTTTCGTTTTATTGAATTGATTGATAGTTGTAATTGCATATTAGACAAAAGACAACATTACGTTCCTGTAAAAAAGCGATATGCGTATAAAAACAATTAAAAGCTAGAAACTGTTTTTTTTTACAGGCAAGTAGTTGATCAGAGTATTGTGCCCTGGGCGACCGAAACATTCATGTTTCCCACAGTCGCTCGCGTTTAACACAATGCGTTTTAAAAGCCACTGTGACAGTCAGTCCAAGTATACGTGTCCATTATTAAAGCGAGAACATTTTTCAGACGTTAATCCACACACCACTGCTCAGGGACTATTTTCTAGGGGAGAAACATAAATGCAAAGCGCAGAGTTCAGGAAAATGCCTCGTTTGCGAGGTGTCGAAGCTATTCCAGGTACGTAACTAAAAATAGCTCGCGAATTATTGATTTGTTAGCTTTACAGGCTATTGAAAGGTACGTGGGCGGTAGCGCTACCTGTTGATTTTTTCTCATGGGAGTACGTGTTTGCTAGTTAAGAATAGTATATTATATTGAAAACTGTTAGTTTTAAAATCGAAAATAAATTGAAAAAATTGCGACTCGGGCAGGACTGAACCGGCAACGTCAGCGTACCGTGCTTTGCTCTACGAATTGGAGCTACCGAGTCCTACACCTCATCGTCGAATTTGTGCAACTTATTGATACGTGCACCTATCGCGCAATGTAATTTCAACCTTAACACTTGCGCATTAAGGTTGAATTAATTAAAAAAAAAATCCAATTTATTTTCCCTTTTAAAATTATATAGTGCCTTCATGTGCAATAACATGTAAAAAATAATAAAGTATTAAAAGTGTTAGATTATTTTTTTAATAGTCAATTATAATTTATAGTCAATGCATTTCAGCGATATGTCAAAAGTAAAAAAGTAAAAAAAGTTAGAAATCAATAATTAAATATGATTCAAACAGATTTCATGTTTCTAAGCTATGTTTCGGTGATCAGGAATTCTACTCCGGTGCAAAGACGCCGCTCACCCTGCACCGTCTTCTCCACTTGATATGGACTCACGCGCGCCACCTGGCGGGCTACGAACAGCAAGATGCGCACGAATTTCTCATAGCTACGCTCGACGTTCTCCATAGGTATTTTACCTACTAATTATTTCCATGTATGTTTCCCCTATTTGTTACATTACATACTAGCATTTGATAGAGTTATATGCAAGAATACTTTTACTATGCCATTAAATTACCTACATGTCCTACTATCTTATATAATATTCATCCGAAAAACCTGATCAAATCCACTGTTTATTCTATTATTTTTTGGAAAACAACAAAACAAAGAATCGTTTTATCGGAAGTAATTTACCGTTATTTAGCACTGTTTAAAGTTTGTCTTAAATTAATTAAATTACATTATTTTTCTTAAATTTAAACTTCTTTCTTAAACAATGCTGAATATATTACTTGATTGAGTTTTTAATACGGTCTAACGTTCGGTTGCTCTGCAGCATCTGTCCATGCTTTTTATTATATACAAAATAACTCACTTAATAACAACAGTATTTAAAAAAATCTTAAACTTGTCCCTTTTTTCTTGTATGTTGAAGTCTATTTTTTTATTGAAATTAAACGTAGCTTGTGTTGGTATGAACATTGTTTATGTATGTAAAGTAAATAATAGTCAATATCAAGTAAATAACATTAAATATATATAATTTCAGACATTGCATGAACGGAGTCGAAGATAATGGGGAGAAGAAGGAAAACGGCCGTTGCAATTGCATCATCGACCAAATATTTACGGGCGGGTTGCGAAGTGACGTGGTCTGCACTTCTTGCCACGGAGTCTCCACAACCATCGATCCCTTTTGGGATATCAGTCTGGATGTTGCTGGACCTGGGTTCGTTTATCTATCATGTGTACTCATATCCCGTCTGCTACCAATAAACTTAGGTAATTTTAAGTGACCACAAGCCATTGCTCGTGAAATTGGTCGTAAGTTGAAATATAAATTTATTTTGGATTTATTAAACTAACCATGAATTTAACTAATAATAATGCTGCATATTTGATTTTCAGTAAGACTCTAATAAAAGTAAAATAAATGACTATATATTTGTAAGTAAAAGAAAAGATTAGATACAAATACGAGTATAAGATTTAGTCATGTCATATAAGATAACGTTTTAATTTGTAATATATGTAAACAATATGCAATGTCATTGTACTGCAATAGATAGAGCAACAGTAGGCTGTTCCTTGTAAGGTATGGGTTCGAAAAATTTGTCAATTAAACAAATATTTTATATTGTCTGTAGTTAAAGCGCGAAATATATTAGTCGTCGAAAAAAAATGGTCGAAGAAATCTGGACTTCAAACATATCTCTTTCTGGATAGTAGGTAGTAGTATGGGTTTTATACAAATCAATGAAATGTGTCATATATGTGAACTAAATGATTTCAGATCTCTCGAGGCCTGCTTAGAACGCTTCACGCGCGCTGAGCACTTGGGTTCTGCTGCTAAAATCAAATGCTCCAACTGCCGGGCGTATCGTGAGTCCACGAAACAGCTGACACTAGAAACTCTACCGATTGTCGCCAGTTTTCACCTGAAACGCTTCGAGCACTCCTCACAGATAGATAGGAAAATCTCCGCGTTCGTCTCTTTCCCCGCGGAGTTGGATATGACGCCGTTCATGTCTTCGCATCGCAGGGCTGTAGAAGCTGCAGATAACAACAACGCTCCCGAAGGAATATTTGAGGACAATAGGTATTGTATAATAGTAGGAGAATACTTTGTTTTACACAAATAAATAAAACTGGATTACATAGATAATTCGTCCAAAGGTTATAACATAATTTGCTTTACAGTAAAAAGTCCTTACCTAACTTAGTATCAAACACTTCAAAGCGGGAGAAATTATGTAGTGCTTTTGTTTGAATACACATCTATGTTAGTTGTTAAAAATTAGTTTTATTCGTTAATTGCGCGATAGTTGCATGTCTAGCGATACCGTAGCTTAATTGCTTAGAGCAACAATACAGATGCCGGTTCAAAACGCGCTGGTGTCGTATACTTTTTCAACCTAAAATCGATTTTTAATCTAACGAATAGATTAGAAGTCGATGTTAGCTATCGTGTCTCCGGTATCATTGGTTACAGAAGCATGGTACGCTGTGGATGAGTATTCAAGTCCCATCCTTGTGTTTTTAAAAATAATATTGATTTTTCTTTTACCCAGGTACTCATTGTTCGCCGTCGTAAATCACGTGGGCTCGCTGGACGCTGGCCATTACACGGCTTACGTGAGGCAGATGAAAGGCAGCTGGTACAAATGCGACGACCACATGATCACGCGCGCATCGCTTAGGGAAGTCCTCGATAGTGAGGGGTAAGTACCCATACTATCTCGATTTGAAAGTGTGTTTGTACGTTGGTCCATTCCACTCCGCTGAAGCAACCAATTTGCGTTATAAAAAAGGAAACGTTTAAAACACAATACAAAGAATAAAGTAAATTCACTTGGCACAAAGTAATACGAAAAAGTAAGTATTTGTTTGAATATAAAAATGATTGGATTAACACTTAAGATTCGAATTTTTAAATAAAACACTTTAACGGTTTAAAACGCGATATATTTTAGTTAAACTTATTTGAAAATTATTTTTAATTATGCCCCGACGTTTTGGATGCTTTGCAGCAGCCGTGGTCACGGGGAGACAGTCTGCCCAGTTTGCTGATATCTTATGATTTAAAAACACTTATAAGTGGAAAGACGTTAACTTTTAAAATATTGTACTGACTTCAATGATTTGTATTTCGCAGGTATTTGCTCTTCTACCACAAGACTGTTTTGGAGTACGAATGTGACGTATCTTAAACTATTTTATCTAAACGCTGAATATTATACACATTATTATTAATTACTGTGGACTCGATTGTAGATCAATTTATTTATGTTTGACTCTCGATGTGATTTTAAAAGCTATGTATAAAAATATAGTAATTATAGATATAAGCTGCTAATTGTGGAATGTTGGGCGGGAAACAAATTGAGCGTGTTATTTTGGACTTTAAGATCTTGACGATATGTACAGAGAAACATTTTTTGTGTATGAATTTATTTATGTTTAGACAAGGCTTGACATAGGGGTCGTTCAAGTATTGCGTTAGAAAGCTGAGATCGAAAACCCGTTAGCAAAGCTTTTAAAACCCCCCTTTCCCCCCACTCATTTTCAAGTAAACTCTTGTACTATTTATTATGTATATATTATAGAGTTAGTAAAATATCTTTGGGATAACATTTTATTTATTTAAACAAACTATTGACTATTCAACATAGTAAAAGTAATTATAGGTACTCATGACTAACGGTGACGTTGCTACTACTATTCCCCTCCCCTCCCCTCCCTACTTACTACCCTCAAGAAGAAAAGCTAAGCTTTCCCGCTTAAGTCTTTACGCTATACTTGAACGGCCTTATAATGGCTGAAAAGTCAATGATAAAACAATTTAATGCTACTAAATATTCATATGACAGCTGATGAAAGATGGCGGACGATAACATTTGTAGTTCAACATAATTCTAAGTACGTATAATATTATACTCATAAATGGTTCACTCCATCATTATAAATCTCTTAGTTTGGTGTTACAACGTAAGTCACAACTATCATAAACGACTTAAAACTCTATTGACTGGGGATTAGATACGTTTTCCAACACTCCTATTTTGTTAACCGAATACGTTAGTTTTAAGCTTTAATGTGTATTCACTAATTTAATTACACAGACTGAAGACTTCTTACTAGTTTAGTTTTATAATTGTTCGCTTTGAGCTAGGATTTTCCTGTATATTTAGCTTAGTCTGGATACGGTTCAGTTTTGCTTATATTGACTAAACAGGTAGCTTACTGCCGGAATGAAATAAAAAAAAAACAAACTATTTTGTAATATGAAATCGAACACAGTAAATCTACCTCGCTTTTTATTATCCAATCACTATTGTCCCGTTACCGATGAAACTAAACACATTTGTAAAAGTTCAAGTAAGTTAATAGATGTAGGCACTTTAAAGAGTTTTAAAAACTTTCAACTTTAGCATTTTTCTGCGTTAACAATGAAATCGTGTATTTTTAATTTTTATTGACAAATTAAGAATCTGTGTTCATTATTTGTTTGTAAATTGCGTGTTACCATCGTGTAATAAATTTCTGGTAACACATTTTCGCTTTGTAGTATAATTGCTTTGAGTAGTTATAAACTCGACTGACTTGACATTAGTTTGTGATATTTAATATTTATGTGTATGTAATGTGTAGTTAGCGATAACATTTTTTTTCCTAATAGTAGTAATATTGACAATTTCGTTAGACTGCAGTCTTATAAACGTCGTAGAACGCATACGTCATTGTTATAGCCCGATATATTGCCTTAAAATTAAATCCTAATGATCAGTATGTTAGGTTCACAGCTGTAGTAAGATAAAATGTTAATATTTTTTAGGAACATCTATTGCTTCACACGCTAACCTCAGCATCATTATTTCATTTCTATAGTAGGATTATAATTAGCAGCTTTACGGCATTTATAGGAGACTGCAGCCTTACTCAATTCGACGAATATTGTGTGTTGACTTCTCGATGAAATAAAGACAAGACAAAGGTTCCTTAGTAATTCGTCTAAGAACGTGCTAAGCCATTATAACAACATAACAGCATATTGACATGATTTATGAAAATCAGAAAGTAGAGTACCTATAATAATGTATATTTTGAATTATCTTTAGTTTTATCGTATCAAATTTATTATTGACCACAATTAATAAAATAGTATGTTTTTAAACTTTGTGAAGGATAATGATGAAGATCTGGAAGAAAATAGACCAGTTCACATGGAATCATCCAAAATATAAATGTGTATTACCGTTAATATATGCTGTAAGATCCATAATTTTATGTGATGACGTTATACGAAAATGTTAAAAAAGGCATATGTGTATATAAATTAAATTGCAACGTAATAATTTCGTATCACAGAAGAAAAACATACAAGTTGATCGTGTCTCTATCGCTTGCTTCGTGCTCTCTTTTTTATAATACAAGAGGACAGGCAAGCATATGGTTCAAACATCTAAAAAACATGCGGTGTTGACATATTTTGGCTTTGGATATTCTGAAATCCATAGACTGAAATGGAAACGCGATTAAACTTAAAACACTCGCTCAAATAGCACGATTTTCTGCGATGGTTTTCATAAATTGTTACAACGCGATCACGTAAAATATTTTTTCATTGCTCTTTATGGGCTGTAAATGTAGAAGTTTTTAATAAATCTATCTCGGCTTTGTTCTGGTGCAACGCAGTCTTACATACACCTGCCTAAAATAATAGTTTATAAATTAAAACGCCAGTGGTATTTATTTGCATTTAGTTACTTTTAATATCTTAGATCCGAGCCCTACTCATTAATGTTATAACCTATGTAATAATTAATTCGGTGTTTATAAAAGATTAACCTAGAATTATCTCTGTAAAAATGTAACCAAATCGTAAACAAGTTAGTTGTAAATGTATTTAATATTATAATACTATGTATGTAACCAATTTTCCAATACAGGTATTACATTAAATTATTCAATTATGTGAAAATTTGTGTTATAATAAATACAATACTATCTATACATAAAAATGCTTTGTACTTAATGGCCTACAGAATGATCAGACGACGTTTCGGATGCTTTGCAGCAGACGTGGTCACGGGGAGACGGATTATACATTTATTTCGAGATTTTCATTAGAATGAAAATTTGTACTTGACAAATTTATTACTCGATCTGTTTAACTCTACCCTTTCCATTAACATTCTTAAAAGAAGTTTATGGAAAGTGTTCTTTTTTGTTAATCTCGGTATGGGTTTAATATACTTTTTATTTTACTAAAAAAAATGTCGGTAGGTACTGTCTATAGTTTACGCGAGTAGTACACATTTAAATAAAACACTTTAACGGTTTAAAACGCGATATATTAGTTAAACTTATTTGAAAATGATTTTTAAATAAGTTTAACTAATATATCGCATTTTAAACCGTTAAAGTGTTTTATTTAAAAATGTCGGTAGGTACAAAATTATGTAACTGATTTGACTAGATCATAAACTTTTCGTATTTTGAAATGAAAGTCACTATTTCTAATATTAGTTTTTATTGTGCCATAAAACTACACGAGATTTTTATAAACATCAAAAATAAAAAATAATATATTAATAATCCCTATCACAATATCAGACCTGTCGTTTCCACTTGGTGGCCATCTTCAATGGTTATTTGTAACCAATTCAATATTCATAATACCGTTTACTTTTGTCGTACTAATCAAAGATCGTCAAATTTTGCTTGTTATGTGAGAGGAAAGTTTTTTTCCCACTTTAAAAAATTAGTTTCAACTTACTTCATTATCATATAAACATTTATATTTTCTAACAAATTGCATGAATTTTTCATTTGGTTCCATGATCAATTTGTAAAAAATTACAACCGATAATTGCACTGCGCCTGTCCCGCTCAACTGCTCTATTGTGAACAGTCCAATGGCAGACGTAGTAATACAACGCGTGCTCACTGTGGCGGTCACGCGCCTGCGTCGTGACCGACCCGCGCACGCGCTGCACACGTCGAAGTGTTTGTGAAAGAGCAGTAGCGCAGCAGTTTGGCTCAGCAGGCCCGCGTTTGTTCGGTGTGTCATCCCTCGTATAACTACATTATTTACAATACCGCAATGAAACTGCTTTTGGTGTGCCCAAGTTAATTTGACAAAATATTAGTAGATGTCTTGCTTTGCAAGACTAGATATTTACCGCAGCTATTTTTTTAACAAATAATTATCATTAAGATAAACATCTAGAACTATAGCCTATGTTCACAAAGATTTGAATATTAGGAAATACTATAACATCAAGTTTTGTTAGTATTTTAGAAGTTGATAAGAGTATGTAATAATCACAAACACTAAACATACATTTACAATTTAACACTTTACACGCGTAAACGTATATATTAAATTGGAGCCAAAATTGATATCAATAAATTTTAAAGCAAAAATAAGTCGGTAAGTGCGGTATAAACATGTCTTGGAAAAGAAAACATTGAATGATGACAATTACATTTAATGACTAGACGTTAGGCTGTGTTCTGCAACATGTCAAACATTTTCACCTAATCCGATATATATGACCTTATACACTTTTGTTTGTTACGTGTACTATTTCATAAATATTTTTTTTGCTCAAATATATTGTTTCGAAAAGTATTTCAGCCTACAAACGATCTATTGCTGTTTAACTGCTGGTTCGTCGAGTAATGTTTCAAGTTGTTTTACATCCGTTACAGGCAGCGAGCAAGCGTATCGCCGACAGACATAGGCGCGCGGCACATCGCCTGCGCTGCGAATGCGGCTGAGAACTAAAATCAGATAGAGAGAACATTTCATTATTTTGTTTTTAAAATACAAATGCCAGGGAAATAGTTTCCATCGAAAAGAATACATACTTTTTCAAGTATTACATTTATATATAATATACAACAATATAGTATTGTTTTTACCATTACATGCAGGTAAAGAAATAAACAAAGTACTTATAACACATATTTTACACTTGCTTACTGTCGAAATTAATCTACCAGGAGAAAATTCTAACAAAGAAAAGAAAATTCTAAAAGTACGGGAGCTAACAGACCACCGTGGAGACAATATAACGGGGAAAATAACACTATAATCTTAGTATCACTGGCACCAGATCAATACGTCCGAAAGCGTTTTCTACAAAGCTGTTCAAGATTTACCTTGATTGTAATCAAGTGTAGAATATGTACTAAATGTCCTGACTACAAAAGAGTAATGAAGCTACCTGCTGGTGTCTCATTGGGGTCTGATACGGCGAGCACTCGTCCAGGCAGTAATCGCGACCGTACTACCCTCACCAGTTCTAGCGTACGAGGATCCGAATAGCCTCCCGATATTAACACCTGCAATGAACATACAGCACTTAAAGGATTTATTTGGGATTTTTGATCCTATTGCATCATTGTAATGTTTTCAAATAGAAGTATCGATACAAAACACATCTATGTAAGACGGAGCTTCTAGTCTTAAAAATAACAAAGAAATATTTGTCTGTTATTTTGTTGGACTCTTAATAATTTAAAACTGTTTTGTTTAGACTTAATTGCATCTTAATTTTTTGTATATTTATTTTAATTTATATATAGTAGTTATTGATATAGTGGTTTTTTATTAATTTTCTCTACATAGTAGTGTATTTTTTAACAAAGACCATCCAAATAGAGATTATAAAACTATCCAACCTGAGTAGGAGAATCATTGTATAACATAAGTGCTGATATCATCTCGGGCAAAGCGTTAGGTGTATCAGTGAGTCGTTTTGCATAAGCTAAAAGTAGTTTCTTTGCCAATTCCCTTTCCTTTTCACCGCCTTCCGGAGCGGGACTCTTGTCCGCATAGGCCGCTAGCCGAAGCAGATTGTGACAGGAAACACTGTTACCAGCTGGTTCCGCGCTATCTTGATCTAGAATTTATGGACAGCATTAAAAAGGGAAATTGTGTATGTCATTCTTTTGGGTATTTTTGTGCCTTTGAGGTCTTGAATTTTAATTCTGGTTTATTGGTGCACAGAACTCCAAGCTCTTGAATAAAAAAAAGTTATTGTGTTATTTGAATTTCGTTACCTTCCTTTAACCGTATTATAACACTATCATCTTCAGCAGACGATGTAAAATATCCGCCGACGTCACAGTCCCAGAATAAGTCATCTTGCTTTTGCTGTAACTCTCTTGCCCACTTTAACCACTCGATATCCAACGAAGCCTCGTATAAATCTAGTAGACCTCGTATCAGAAAGGCGTAGTCGTCTAAGAATCCCTTTATTGGAATCTCACTAAAATATTAAAAAATATTTTAAGAATTTAGAAATTTCTAACTACTTAAGTCTTGTCTCATTCCAACATACCAAGACCTAATTTAGTCTTTGATTTCCTGTAAATTTAGGTGGTAACTACTCTAAGTACCTACTGCTCACTTACCCTTGATTTATTGTTCCATCTTCAGCCTTATAGCAAGAATGTAGAAGTTGCTTAGTGGTCTGACAGTATAAGTACTGTTTAATAAAATTTGCCGTTTTTATCGCATCATCTACATAACTTTTCTCCTCTAATCCTTGACCAGCCCTTGCCAAACCGGAGATCATTAAACCATTCCAAGAACATAACAATTTCGTATCTAAATGTGGTCTGGGTCTCTTTTGTTGAGCGGCACGTAATATTTCTCGACACTCTGCTATAACCTTTCTAAATTCTTCTCTTGATAAATTAAATTTCTCCATTGTTTCCTCTTCACTCCCATAGACTATTAAAACATTTTTATTATCAAATTCACCTTTCATATTAGCATCAGGTGATACATTTCCATCTTTCTCTACACCAAAGTAATCACAAAATATTTCTAAATATGTGTGAGATTTAACTATCTTGTTGGTAAATAGTTTTTCAAGTTCGTCATATTCCCAAACATAGAAGGCACCTTCTTCCTTATGGGGTGCTCCAAAATATGCATAAGAGTCTGCATCTTCGGCACTATAATAGCCACCAAAGTCATGTCTAAGATCTCTGTTTACATACATAATAATATCACGCACAACATCAGCAAAGAACTCATCTTTATTTGCCAAATATGCATCTGTATATACAACGGCTAGCTGTGCTTGATCATATAACATTTTCTCAAAATGTGGTACATGCCAATGGTTGTCTGTTGAATATCGAGCAAAACCACTGGAAATATGGTCATGAATACCGCCTTTTGCCATTTTTTTTAATGAGTGAAGACACATGTCCAAGCACTGTTTACCTTTTTGATCATACTTGTCCCTTGCATAATAATGAAACAAAAAACTGAATGCTGGTACATGTGGAAACTTAGGTGCTGTGCCAAATCCACCAAATTCTGGTTCATATGAGGATATGTATTTTTGTACACACCTTAACCATGATGCTTCACTGGGGATTGATGGATTAATGTCAAGCTTTGTTGCAGCTTTAATAAGCTCCACAATATTATTGCTCATATCAACTAGCATCTTATTGTTTAATTTCCATTTTTCAGCTATAATACGTAAGAGGGTTTTGAACCCTGGATATCCATATCTATCTTCAGGTGGGTAATAGGTGCCTCCCTTAATTGGTTTTAGGTCTGGTGTTAAAAAGACACTCATTGGCCATCCTCCAGATCCAGTAGTGGCCATTACGAAATGCATGTACAAACGATCAATATCTGGCCTCTCTTCCCGGTCAACTTTAATATTAATAAAATGCTCATTCATAATATTTGCAACCTCTTCATTTTCAAAAGATTCCACCTCCATTACATGACACCAGTGGCATGTGGAATACCCCACAGAAAGAAATATAAGTTTATTTTCCTCTTTGGCTTTTTCCAGTGCCTCTTGACTCCATGGGTACCAGTTTACAGGATTATGAGCATGCTGTAACAAATATGGGGATTTCTCATTGGCCAGTTTGTTTGTAAATTTTGGCTGCTTAGGTATTGCTTCTGTACTTGATGTTGCCATCTTGATTATATTTTTATCACTCAAACTTCTTAAGGCTTGTGAGTTACATAAATAGCTGCTTGTTGGTTGAACTCTGGAACATAAAAAATAATTTATTAATTCTTATACAAAGTGTTTAACAGTGACAATAACAATAAGTTTATTTTTTTGGGTCCTTAAGGTTTTTTGGAATTAGATTTAAGATTATTATAATACAAAAAATACCTTACAAATTAATTTTATTAAATAATATGTTTTAGAAATGGGTTTCAAAATGACACCGTCAAAAGATTATTTAATTCTTCTAAATAATGCAAGGAGAATGGAAAACTTTTTAAAGCTAATGTTGCTAAGAATGATGGCATAAGTTGTATAATGGTACAAGATTGTATAGTTTAAATATTAAGATAACTAAACCGACAACCTATATAATATAGATTTATAAATATAAGCAGCATGTATATTTCTTTTCTTATCGAGGCTTTTTATTGATCTCATTGCCATTGACTTTTTTTCAAAAGTGCATTTATTTAACAATATTATACTATGTTGAATTGCATGTAAATGTACTTAGAAACAGTTTCACTTACCTTGCGCACCAGGAAAAATCCCTCTGATTATAGGCACTAGATATAAATACTTCTTTACTATTATGATTGATTCCAAAACTTTTTAACTTATTATCACTCGAAGACAATCTACGCAGTAACAGAACAGCGCGACTGTTAGGCATAATAACGAAACAATTATACTGTTATTATTTCAGGGAACGCATTGTGCGCACTGAGAACGTCAAAAAATGTTATGTAAACCTTTTTCAACTTGAATTTTCTAATACTGCATGTTGTGTTATTTAATAACTTGTTATTGTATATTTTGATCACAGATTCCTGATTGTTGTCACTGTCAGTTGTCAATCTCACGAGTTTTTTACACAGAAACTCGAAATATTTATCGTAAAAAGACTAATAATCTATAGAGTATATACACTACGGTTTGTTTCTTTGATTCCGTGTCGCATGTAGTTAATTGAAATTAGGTATTTATTTATTATTATTTTAAGTATTTAACCAAAACCAAGTAATGTAATTGACTTACTTTGATTTTAAGCCGATATTAAGTAATAATAATTACCAGTCATATTTCGTCAAGTATTTAAAACCAATTAATCGTGTTGTGTTGATGTGCAAAGTAGAAAAAGAAAAATATTCTATTTACCCCAAAAATCCCTCCTCTCTATTCAGTCTAGTTGGAAGTTGAAATGAATGGTTGTTACAATATTAAAAGTTCATCGATAACATGATTTTTATATTTCAATTCTGAATTATTCCTTTTTTTATTAATTAGTTTTTTATATTTCTATTTACTAATATAAGCCACACAAAACTACTTTCCTGGGTAAATCTTTAGGGAATCTGCGATATCACTTTGAAATTTTCTTCTACTCCAAATCTGTTTAGCGCCGGCACTTTCATTATTTTAGTATTTCCTTCACAGGGTTTTTTTTATTGTCTTAGTCCTAAATCTAACTCATGTTTCTCTTTTGTGTTTTCATTCTTATTATATACAACAACTAAACTTTTCTCCTGTTCCTGTTCGTTCTCATTATGTATCTTACTTTATTACCAAGAGTTGTCTAGCAGTGATTGCTCCATAGGGATGAGTCTATAAGTTTTATTTGCATTTTAATAAAGATTACTGAGAGTCTACACTAATAAAATTAAATAAGTTAATATATAAATGATAATTTAAAGTTAGTTGAAGTTTTTCTTTTAAAGTTACTTTAAAAAGACTATAGTAAATAGGCGAGCTCAAGATAAGAGGGGTCTTCTCTAACGAGTTGCACTATTTTATATGCACCCTCTCGTATTGGGAGAACGCATGCGCCAGAATCTGGACGCTATCCTCACTTTCACTGGAACACAGTGTTTTGACGTATCCTGCATGTTCACCAACAATTAATGGCTTGTTGACACGAAATGTCGTGTAGCGTAACACCAGAAATGAAATACCGTGTAAATTATCCCTTATGATAGTGATATAATTCGGTTACAAAGTGGGTGAGTGATTTTTAATTAATCGTAGGCTATAAATATTTAGTTAGCCGTTTCGCAGTGTTGTAAACAATAATATTTAAAATACAATCAAACTAAATTGCCCTATTCAGTGTCGTCCTTGATATTCTAGGTAAAAATAATAATTTATGCAGAAATACCCTACGCGGAAAGATTATTTAGGTCACCTTGACTAATTTGGATTAAAATAGGCACTCATCTGTAAACCTGCAATCAACCTTAGGTAAATTTGGCATTTCGGAACCTAAGTATTTAGGACCTCCTAATTTAATACTACCACTTTTAGTTTTTGTTCATCTATTCATCATTCAGTGATGGGAGATTGCACTAGTGATTTTCGATAAGCGCACGTGTTAAAGTGCATGTCGGCGAACGTGAATGAAACTGCGACACGTTGCTATGGCAACGGGCTGAGGGTTGAAGCCCTTTAATACCAATACACCCTTAAGGAAATAACGAGACAGAGTTAATGAGATAAAGTTATTGTCTCCGGTTTCGTTTTATTATCTGTAATTAGCTAATACGCGGTTTGTCAACATTTAATAATTTGTATTAATATATAGTTGTAAAAATTTTAAGACGTTTTTTAAATGTGAAAATCTACTTTTAATTTTCCCTTTATTTATTGATTATTTTCTATTTTAACGCTTTTTTGTGATAGAATAATACATGCGAGCATGGATTTTCTTTTCGCTGAAATACCGAAACGTCAATTATTACACTTCACGGCTTTTACATCTGTATACAATGCTTCGTAAACCGGATGGAATTTCTATATTCCTACAACCATTTATATCCAGGCTTCCAGACATAGCCCAACATGTTTCAGAGAAAATATGAATATATTGAAACGTGGATCCGGAGGGGATGGAAATCACGACCAGTATATTATTGGTTTACTTGCTACCATTACGCCAACGAAAAAAAGAGAAAAGTTAAATTAAAATATATTAATAAGAATATATATCAGGTTCTTGAAAGGACAAAGTTCATATCACTACCTTACAATGAAGCATTATACAACAATTTAAATATGGTTTCAGGTGCTGAGTAGACTTCAATCGCGTGCCTTAGACTCTTCCCTTCCCAATTTTAATTAATTACAAAGCAGTCCAACAACCGCGTCGGTCCTAGAATCTGTCCAAAAGATGATAGTAATCTAGCTAGTGGTTGCTCAATCGCGTGAACAGTTCAGTGGAGTGGATGGTGTTTCTAGGAAGATGTCTGTGTGGGTGGGCAGTGGCTGTGGCGGCGAAGTCTGCGCGCCGCCAGGTGCCACTGTCCTTTCTACTAACACTTCTATGGAGTCCGGTATTGAGGCCGGGGTTCTGCCCACGGTTACTGGATCCTTGGCCTCGGCCCGGGACTCACTGGGATCTCTCTCTCGAGCGGCCGAACATTTGTATGATACTGATCACACGGATCTTGGAAGCGAGCTTGATGAAGCGGAAATACGACGGGAGTTGATGCACGATGTGAGTGTCAATTTTTATTTAACTCTTTATTACGCAAACATCCGCAATTACTATGAACCAAATAAGAAATATAACTTATGGAGGGTAATGGATGGCCTTATAGCTATTAAGCGATATCTTTTCGGCAATCCTTCTTAGGATACAAATTAACTTATAACTTATAATTTTTTTAAAAGACACACAAAATCTAAATTATCTAAGGCTTTCACGACGTTCGTTTTCATTTCGTTCAGTATATTATTGTTTATCACCCGTTCAGGCGACGTAAGCGAGAAAAGGTTCTCGACGTTTCGCTAACACGAGCATCATCAGCAGGCCGATTCTACTAATTTAATGACGTTTCGATCAAGTTGCAGTCACGCTGAAGATGTTAGCCCCTCAATTGCTCGAATATATTTATAATCTCACATATGTCGGCTGTACAGCCCGAAAAACAGTTATATGCCACACAAAACGTGTTAAATTTGGGAGTTAAACTATGTTGTAGATAGAGATATTATGTAGGTACTTGTTTCTTTTTGAATTAATAGAAATTTACACCGCTTAGTTAATTTTAATAAAAACGAAGATCTGAATACATATAGCAATAGGAAATATAAGGTGTGTTGCATTATTATTCGCGCATAAATAAAAAAGACGAATACGCCATTAAGATATTATTTACAAGAAGTTTATAAATTTTTGGTCATATTTTATCGATGCAAACCTAAACTAACATCCGATACGTTTGTTTCAGAAATGGCGACTTTTATTTGACAGGGTAAGCTTCCTTATTTGTTGGTGATACTCACGTCAAGCGTTTCTTTAAAAAAAACCATCACCGACCACTTGATAATCGCTGCACATGTTGCATGTATACATCAAAAAAGTGACTTTTACGACCGAGAAACAAATTTCCAGAAATCATAGTTAACTTGATTAAAATGTACAGAAGCAGGGAACAAAAGGTTTTATAAGCAGATAAAAGTGCGTCGGTAGCGCCGGAGATCAAACGGTGTGTCGTCACGTAGGAAACATTGAGATAATGCCACTGCGCAGATAGGGGCGCTACACATTTTTTGTCATCTCCTTTTTGGAAAAGAAACGAAATCACAACAATATTATACACATAATAATGCAAACTCCCGGAATAGTGGGTGATTATGACGTTACGGATGCTCCTTTGAAATCCCAATTTTGTTTTTGTCCGTGACCGTGTCAAATTTTGAAGGTGTGAATTTTATACTAATGGTTTGTTTATTATTTTCTTATGCAGTTCGATCCGGAGGGTTTCGGCGAGATTCCGTGGCCCGATTTCCTTCAGACCCTCCAGCATCCCGATTTTATAGCGCAGGTGCCACATCACAAACGTGAGGTAAATAATTAAATAATGTAATTTCTCTGAAAGACACGTACACAAATAATAGTATTTGATACTATTTACCGAATGGTTGTTTTTTTTAAATTCCATCAAATAGATTTTTTACAAACAATATAGAATAGTACATACATATTATATAATTTAATTATAATCTTAGCAGGGGTGTTAAATTAAGAATTTAAAAGCGTTTACGTAAAGTTTTAAGCTGTAAGTATGCATATTTTTATAATAGAAGTACCTGTGAGTCAACTTCAATTTTGTGAATGTTTAATTCAATTGCTATTAAATACTATTTAATTTTATTTTAATTCTCTTTTTCCTATATCAATCTTAAGTATATAATGCATTGTTTTATTTATAAGAAGATTTCTTCTAAAATTCATTCCTGTATCTTCTTTAAGTATTTGTATTTATTGTCGAAGTAATATTTAATTGATTATTATTGTTAATATAATATAATTTAAACATCGCTGTTGCCTTTCAGATTCTCTTGGACAAAGCGACGAGCGCCACGAGTCCGTCCATTACCTTCCAAGAATTTGTTAACGTGGTGAGTAGATTAGCTTAATCAGGACATTATTAGAACAGAAGCCATAATTGCATTAGTCAATATAGAAACGCACGATCATAAAGTAAAAATATACCAATAATAACACAATGCCACTCCTCGTCCTAAGTACAATACAACTAAATTAAGATGCGACGCAGATTACAATTTACGCGAGCCCAAATCGACCCAAGTCCCAAATGCCCAGCTGAACAAAAACAGTGTTTGTTACAACCAGCAAGAATCCTCGGGCAGCGCGCTAAACGAAAAAGTTCTAAATAAACTTGAAAGGACCCACATTCTTATCGTTTCTGTCTGTCGCCTCGAAACTCGATAAAGTCCGATTGGATTTATTAGGTGGACATTTATTTTTATATGGTTAAATATATTATCTTAAATACGTATTAACGCTGAGCACAGCCGTTTATTATTTTTGTTTTGCGTTAAGATTAGGGGTTGCAATTGTTTGGGAGGTATAAATTATACTTCTAATTAATTTGTCTTTTTAGCCCCCTTCTGTTACTAGTTTCTTATTTAATTGTAATTAGTATTTCTGGCCATTTTATTGTATTAGTACTAGTTATAGATGTTTGATTAATAGTATTTTGTAGCTCAGAATTTAGCTTAAATTCACTTATATATAGTTCACTTAAAGAGTAACTTACTAGTTTAACTTTGGCATGTGCTGATTTCCCAAAAAAAAAATTATTTCCAGCTCATATTTCTTTTTTATCTACAGTCACTCTATAATTTGTTGATTCTGTAAAATAAATATTGTTATTGTTTTATCAATTTAATCGTTGTAAATTGCCGTATGTTTTTCAGTTATATTTAATATTAGAATGTATGTGTTTCGTTACTTCATATGGGTTTGTACCTTTCATTAAAATGTTTTCGAGATACTTAAAATTTTACCGCCAATATCAATTTTATATCCATCAAAAGGTCCCTTAGTCATTTATAAGGAAAAAAACCTTAATTTGCATAAAGAATCTTAAGAAGCACTTAATTATGTCAACCCAATGCGGTCTCATGAGTTATTGCCGTATTCTAAATTAAGTTATCGCTTAAAATTAGAGTTCAGTTTTATTTTCTGCTGTTTTCACGTAGGAGCAGATACATGCATTTTTTATTTGTAATTTTAATTCTCCCCAGAATGATAGTGAATTCAGAGTTAAAATGAAAAATAAATATCGTAACAGTAACAGTTTCGCGTCCTGCCTATAAATGACTTTGATTTTTTTAAATACTCTATAATTATATTTGATCACACATTCATATCTTCTTGATGCGCCAACAACTCTTATGAGCGCTGGCTGTTATTCTTACATTGGACTTGAAAAATGTTTCGCGTACAATTGTGTGGATAGACGTAAATCAAAATTAAATTTGACGTATAAAGAGACAACGAGGGACATTGTTGGGTCGTGGGCGTCCATGATGCGGCATTCTTATGCTAATCCGGGCGAACCACATTCGAACGGGGTGGGCCAAATTGTTATTTATATTGTCACCTCCAGGCTTTTTTTGTCCGTGTTTACTAAGCTCCTGGACCAAATTACTTACTGACATCATCCCTATGATGAAGAAATAATTTGTGTCCTGTTTTGCAGCAGACATATTAGAATTTACTCATTTGGGTTGATGACATCATGTCCTAGAACCCAAAAATTGAATGGACTACATTTGTCATAATTAACACGCTAAAGGCATTTAATCGGTGTTCTGTTTAGAGTGTAGTAAACCCGAGTCCCAGTTGTGGGAATCTGCTACGCTGTCCCATAGTAGCTTGCAATAGTTTACTTCTGATACAAAATTATTAACAACCTACGAATGACTAGCGCAAATCCTTTTAGGGAAATCGTTTGTGAATGACATGAACGTAGTTTCCTGTAACGTTCACACTATTCGTGCTACAAGTGCATCAAATTTGCTGTAAAATACACGTGTAACAGTAATGCTAATGTTTTCTCTTCCTTCTCAGAGTGCTTAGATAAAAGCTCGGCAAAATTTTCTCAAAAACAAATGAAAACTACCTGTAAACAAACAGGCATTTGTTTGCGATCATTATATCTTTTTTTTTATCTATATAATGAGTTTTATTTATATTAAATTAAAAAGACGCAGCTACGTCTTATGTTGTGCGTGCCTCGTTGGACAAAAAACTTTTGAGAGAAGCCGCGCACCCTTAATCAATTTATAGGGCGCTAACTGGTACACGGAAAATGTATTAAAGCTCGCGGTGGGAATACGGCCCACACTTTAAACTTTGGAAATCAAAATATTGTGGTGCATTAAAGATTTATTTAATTAAATAAAATAATTTACGGTTTAAAACGCGAAATATATTAGTAAATCTTATTTCAAAACTACGGTTCGACGTTTCGGATGCTTTACAGTAGTCGAATAAGTTTAACTAATATATTTCGCGTTTTGAAGCGTTGAATGTTTAATAAATTAAAAATTTGTACTAGTCGCGTAGACTACAAACACTATTTGATCCATTAAATTTCACAAAAAAGTATATTCTGAATTATAAGGAAAAGTTTTCTTTTATTTATGATTTCTTGTCTTAAATTAAAAATCGATATTCTGTTAAAAAAAAGTTACAGCACTGAAGGGACTTGAACAGGCATCCGCAGCGTTCCGTACTGTTGCTCTAACCAACTCTAAACGGTTTTTAATTGATCTACGAACAATTGAGCACGGAACGCTGTGGACGCCAGTTCAAGTCCCGTCCGTGTATTCTCAATCTAAAATCGGGATTTAATTTATATAATGACATCATGTGCAAAACGTGTGAAAGAGTTGTCTTTTCTACAGAGTTTTGCTTTACTACTCTAGAACAACTAAATAAAATCAATTCTACGTCCATTAGAAAGAAAAATTTTCATTTTACGCTACATACGGAACAAAAACAATTACTTAATAAAACACACCTCAATCAAAATTAATTGCTTTACGCATTAATCTCTTTATCTTCCCTCTCTAACAAAACAACGTGTCCGTTCTCTAAGGTAATGGAAGCAATCATTTCAGATAAGATAACTCTAATGTGAGAAAAGGTAGACGTTCGGCTCGGGTCGTTAATTTAATTTGAAATAATAAAACTTATATTCATCATTTATCACTTTCGACAAATTTATTTTTAAATACCCTTTTGATGCCCTTATCTTGGCTAGAGGTGAGTCTGATTATGCCGTAAATAGACAAAGAGGCGTTACTGTGTCAGTTTACGGGATATTTCAACGTAATTACCAAGTATGGTGACAGTCTGGCTTTTTAAAATATGAAGAGCGAATTCGTAATTAAATGTCTATGTTATCAACTTATCTTCTACCAGATAATAAGTGATACAAGTAGTAGAGCTTAAAAAATTAGAACTATACGTAATAATATACATTTTGAATCAGTTCAGTTTGAATTTCCGAACGACTAAAGCCAAAATGGAGGATGGATCCTGAATGTACCATCAGGTGAATTCAATTCTTGTCTGTTCTCTTCTTTTATTTCAGTTAACTTATTTTACCGCAATTGCAATTTTAACAACTTTTTAAACTACGGCCTGACGTTTCGGATGCTTTACAGACAATTTGAAGCGCAAATGTTCTAACTCTCCTTTTGTATATAAAGTCACTGATTATTGCGAATATGCCACCACAGAACATATATATATATAGACTAACAAAATCATTACCCATCCCTTTGGCTCCGCCGCCGTCGGTTAAAAATAAAATTGATGTAACGCCCAATTTGAAGTACCTAATTCGTTAGCAGGTCCTGGTAAGGCGCATTCCTCCGTCGAGTAGGTTTTCGTGTTCTGTCCGACTGTCCGTCCGTAACTCACACGGTATCGGTGCCATCTAAATTGAGATTTTATTGACGATTACTGTTCTAGAGACGGTATCGTTGCGATCTTGGCGCCCGCTCGTAGGTATCTCGCTGCGACGCCCAATTCGATATTGATGCTGTGATCTCGGACACAGAACGCTTTACCGCACTTTGTACCACTTTTTACGACTTTGCGTATTATACGGCTTAAAAGATCTGAGCAAGTTACACTTAGGAGTTAACTTGTTGGTCCCTAATCGGGTACATTATAAATTAATATTCAATAATAATGTTTACAATATACGCGCGCGGTAAAAGTATTAAATTTATGGTACCTATATAATATGTCTATCTGTCGGTCAGTGGTCAGAGAAAAATATATTACTTGGTTAGGTTCTGACCTTACCTAAAAACTTTGATATTATAGAAAAAATATGGAAATAATTAGCTAAAATCGTAGTACACAATCTTTGAAACCAAGAGAAACGTTACGATTGTAAAATATTAAATTGGTTTGTAATACTATTTTTTTATTGTAGAACCATTATCATCGGCGAGGTTGAATTGAACAAATGTATAATATAGTGACCGCGGAAGGCTCCGAGGGACAAATGAGGGAGGTCACCGTGCCGAATCACGAGGGTTGATGGTTCGTGAAATGGTAACATTTTTTCGTCAAACTCAGACCACACCGCGGTAGATTTACACCGATTTCACGCGTACTGCTTTCTCACGCACCTGTCTAAATCAAAATGATAAAAACACTTTTTTGATATTGACTAGCTTCTGCTTGAAGACAGAGACAAAGCTTTAACCACATTTTGCATAACACATTCTTTTACATACGTACTTTCAGAGCACGACTTTAAATCTTAATTATAATGTTTTATTAGATTTTATTTAAATACTATTCAATGTACATATTGACTTTGTTAAGGCCTAAATCGTCAGATGTATTGCATAGGGCGCGATAGTGACAAATATTGTTCACAGTTTAGAGCAGTTGTGTGTCTAGCCCATAAACCGCGTTTGGGGAGTGCTCTTTGCTTTTAAGACGACCGAATTATAATGTTTGGTTGGCGTATCCCATATATTATATTATATGCTAAAGGTCTTAATTAAAACAATTTCAAAGTGTTTTAATAATATATTTAAGTAATTTAAACAGATAATACTAATAGTTTGTTACA